AGACATGATGTTGATAATGGTGAAAAGGAAATTGCTAGAAATAAAAGATGAAAAACTAAAAGGAAAAGCATAAGCCCACTGTTATAATTGAATTTGCTAAAGAATAAAATAAGTCATGCTATGAAAAGTAAGGGATGACATGAGGTCAATGTTTTTATACTGGGCAAGTAGATTTTATTATTGAGTTGTTGAAGTATTTAGAGCGATTATGTGTTAAGGTAAAGAGTTGAAGAGACATTCGTATGTTGTGGCGGCTGTCCTTTTATAGGCATGAGGTGGTAGTTTTTTTATGGCTCCATGCTTTACTGTTTTAGGGCTATTAGTTATAGTTTTTCCTATAACTTTCCCTACTCTTTGGCATTTCCAAAGTGGTGCGTCAATTCATTTTCTCAACAAGCAACCACCTTTCTCCTGGAAGACTCATATAGGCTTAGGCCAAATATAGTCTAAAGGTTAAAATTAGATTTTAGCCCATACATATATTACTTTTTATCTTTATAGAACTGTCAATTTTGTTACCGTGACATACTTTGATATAGTTCATTGAGAATCAATATTTATCTACTATGCAATATTGCATTTTAAATGGATTGCTTGGTTACAACCCTAATTTTCCCTTTCGGAGACAGGTTGAAGACGTACCAAGTGATTTTTCCTTTGAAATTATTGATACCTAGACAATAGATTGTAACACTCAAAAGAACATATCAAGGTGAAGAATGATGAATTTGCAATTTTTGTTTTACACATGGTGAAAGTTAAATTCTTTGGATTTGATATTGCCTATGATCTCAAATATTTTGCAATTGTGAAAACTATAATGTAGTGTTATGAAAACATGAAAGTTGTCTTGTTAATACATGTATTCAATTATAATATATATATATATATATATATATATTTATAATGGTAGGATTTTCCTCTAAATTCCATAGTTGTGATTTTGTTGCTAACATAATTTGACTTTTTTGTTGAACTCTGAGTTGGTAGTAGATATTTTGGAGTGAATTATTTTTTATGAAATCATGATGATTTACTTGTTCATACTGGGTGTTCACATGTGAATTAAGGAATTCATAACCTGTACATTATCATGAAAATGCTCTATCAAAAATATTAGATTATATGTTGTGAAAACATAAATGTCATTTTGTCTACATTAAATGTTCAATTGTGAAAATAAATGTTGAGTTTATGTACATGTGGACTTTTTCTTTTATTAATTTGTTCGTTGCAAGTTCATATAAGCGATTGATTATTTTGGAGAACACTTGCTGTGGTGTGATGGTTAAATTATTTTCAAATAAATGTATACCCAAGTTGAATGCACAACAAAACATCCTTAAATAACATGAGAAAGTCTATTTATCAACAAGAGAAAGTCTGTCTATATAGCACATATGAATATCAGCACAAGTTAATTGTAAAATTTATATAACATAAACTCCATAAATAACAACATGCTTTCATTGAATTAGCAAGAACAAGTACATCAAATCTAGATAATCAAGCAAAGTCCATTAACTTTCAATGAAATGTCCATTTATTAGAATAAATGTGATTTTGATAGTTGAACATGTGTGTTGTACAAGCTAACCATAAGAGATTAATATTAGGAAGTATGTAACTATTAAGAAAAGTAATTATTTTTAATAAAAAGCCTGTTTATTCAAAAGAGTCCGTGGGGGTTTACGTTGAAACAAAATATTTACAAATTCATCAAATAAAATTCATAATAGATGGTTCATAAATAATAATAATAAAAGTTTAATTATTTACAATGAAAGTTTCATTTATTTACAAGAATTCATTGGTGTTTCACTTAAACAGGAAAAATTTACAAGTTAACAAAAAAAATTAATAATAGAAAGTCTATAAACAAGAAGAAAAGTCTAATTATTTACTTGAATCCAGAAAATTTACAAGTTAGCTAAAGAAAATTGACAATAGATTATTCGTAAATAATGAATAAAATTCAATTATTTTTAACAAAATGTCCATTTATTAGACACATGTGATTTTGACAGCTAAATAATTGTGCTATATAGATGAATCTTATGTTGTTAATATATGGACCTTGTTATATTACTTAAGATTGTTTTGTTGTAAATTCTACAAAAGTAACTTGTATATTCTAGTTTTACTAAACCACATGAACATTGTGTTATTAATATTTAAATCTTTTGCTATTATTTGTAGATGTTTTGTTGTAAATTCCATCAAGGTAACTTGTATATTCTTATTCTAGTAAACCACACAGACAATATATAAAGTATGAACATTTTGTTGCTAATATATGAACCTTTTGATGTTATTTATAGATGTTCTATTGTAAATTCTACCTAGGTAACTTGTACATTCTTGAGCTATACCAAACCACATAGATAATGTATAAAGTGTAGACCATGCATTGTTAATATATGGACATTATCATATTATTTGTGGATGTTTTATTACAAATTCAACCTGAGTAACTTGTATATTTCATTAAAAATAATTTAATCATCACACCAAAATAAATGTTCTCCAAACATACACCACAATATTTGTCCTACATTCATTTACAAAAAAGCAACTTAAGATAGCACATACACAATCCTAGAATAATCCTAATTGCATTTACATTCTAATGCTTCTATTAATCAGGTCATCTACTTGTCTTTGTTTTCTTTTAGCAGTTACTGTAAGGCTCCCTCTCCTCTTTACTCATCTTGTTTCAAATTTTAGCTAACATATCATTTGAGTCTGTTAATTTCTTGTACAATCTTTTATTTTTCTCGATATACATTGCCATGTGAAAGCTTTATAGTAGCACATGCAAGAAAACATGGTAGTCCTGTCACCTACCATGCCATTTCTTGTATGAACCTACAACGAACGAATTAATTTAAGAAATTGTTTACATATAAAAACCTAACTTTTATTTTTCACAACCAAATATTCAATATAAATAAGATAACATTCATATTTTCACAACATATAATCTAATATTTCTAATAGAGCATTTTCACGATAAGTTATGAATTTCCCAATTTACATGTTAATATTCAATATGAACAACTAAACTATGATAATTTCACAATAAATAATCCACTGCCAACTTAGATTATATCAGTAAACAAATTAAATTATATTAGCAATCAAGTTGGATTATATCAACAACCAAGTCACAGTCATAATTTCAATTTTAATACTATTACATTGCATTTTTTACAACAAAAAATTCATCTCATACAATCAAGAAAACTTTAGGCATACAAGCACACAAATTGTTAGAAATAAAATTATGCATTAATAATGAGGATAGTGAGCAGATAGAACCGGATGAATTCCAATGAGACTACTTAACTGAGTATCATATGATTTATTTTGGCCATGAATCCACACGCAATATGGGCTAGAGTGCATTTTAGTTATTGAACCTATGCTGTACCTCAAAAACTCCGAACTCTCCAAAGCTGAAGATTCAAAATCAAGTATAAGAAGCTTTCAGTTGAATAGGACCCAGGGCTTGCTCAATTTGTTGGACTACCATTCTTGACCTCACAACAACACAGCTAATGTTGCACGAATCCTTACTTGATAAAAGAACAAGTATCGGTGTCAAACCCATGAATTCCCTCCTTTGGATGTACCCTTGCGTGTCCCTAATACAAGTCATTCTCCCTCTGTCCCTCTTAACATACTCTCTGTCGTCGCGGAAGAAGCAAAGGGGGAAAAATCAGAGTCAAGCATTGCTAATTATGCGAGGGGTAACTTGGTCATTTTAGCAATAAACATAATTGCAAATGAAAATCTTAAACCTGTAAAAAAATATTTAGAATCTATTAAACCCTCCCTACAAATATTTTCTTTCATCCTAAGGGCCTTGAATGTTATTCTCCCTTGTAAACAATGTTACTTATAGGACAGTTTTCATTAGAATATAAAAAATTTGCCTAAGAGGCCACCCATTACAAACTTATGCCCATGGAAATGGAGATATAAAAATGAAAATGGAATTACAATTCATTTTTTTTTTGTTTGATATGCATGAAATGGATTTCCATGTTGAAATGAAATCTATCAAAATAAATTGAATTGGATTCCATAATAAGACCCATGAAAATAAGATAGGTTTTATGGAAGTGAATTTTTTTGGACAAAAATAACCTCAATTATGAAATTGTTTGACAGATTTGCCCCTTCATCAATCATTGAAGCAAATCAAAAGTTTTTTTAGTAAATATGCATATATTAAATAAAAAATATATCATAATTAAAAAAAATTAGTAGGGGTATTTTAGTAAATTAATTATATAGATACATATATTAAATAAAAAAGTATATCATAATTTAAAAAAATAGACAGGGTATTTTAGTAAATTGATTATATAAGTGCATATATTAAATAAAAATATATCATAATTAAAAAAATTGACAGAGATATTTTAGTAAATTGATTATATAGATGCACATATTAAATAAAAAAGTATATCATAATTAAAAAATTAGATAGAGGCATTTTAGTAAATTGATTATATAAATGCATATATTAATTAAAAAATATATCATAATTTAAAAAATAAATAGGTGTATTTTAATAAATTGATTATATAAATGCATATATTAAATAAAAAATATATCATAATTAAAAAAATTAACAGGAATATTTTAATATATTGATTAGATAAATGCATATATTAAATAAAAAATATATCATAATTTCATATACAAACCGAACATACTTTTAAAACTCATTTCCACCTTCATTTTCATTTTTATATTCATTTTTATTTTTATTAAAAACATTTTCAAAATACCAAGTGAGCCGTTAGGTTTTGGCTACTGCTAATGATATGGCTGCGCACGTCTCTTCACCCGGCGACGGGATTACACACCACTGCCATTTGTATGGCTGCAGGCAAGAAATTAATGCTCCAAAATAAAATAAATCTACTCGAATAATATGAACATCAATAGAACTCTGCAAGTGAGCAAAGAACTTTGAATTCCTCTCATAGAACAGAAAACGTCGGCAAATATCCCGGCATACCCTTATTACCATCGACGAACATTAAACCGTTAAACTTACTAGAACTGTAAAATGACCCTTATTTTGAGACCTCAGAGTTTCACTTTTAAATTAATAACCACACATGGCCTTATGCACAAGCTGCGTGTGCTAGTTCGAATGAATAAAGTTTACAAAACCATTTTGTGAATATTGAATAATAAAATGTCAGAAATCGCAGAAAGAAACTACACAAATTTGACCGCAATTTTGCAAAACTGGGATGTCAGCTACAAATCAGTTAGGAAGAGGGCAATAGTTAGGTTCTCATCCCTTCAATCAGAACATCAAATTGAGAATCAGTTCCTGGATTTTGATGTAGCCCATTTAAAATAACCACAGTTTGCTTCGGGATTGGATGCAGGTCCCTGCAGAGAGGAAAAAATGAGTCTTAGCTCCCAGAAATCGCATTTATTTCGCAGAATAACATGGTCAATTAACCTAAACAGAACCGAAGACGGTTTGGCCATGTTAATACGGGCCGAGGTTAACGTGTATCTAAGGGCAGAACTGAAACAGCCCGCCCCCCCTCTCGAAACAAATGAAGAGGTTGACTTGAGAGTTCCAGAATTACGTGATTCTTGGATGGGCATAGTCTGAGCACACCTTATTTAATGATTAAAGCCCCAAGACTTAGATTTTTCAATCTGAAATTTGCCACCCTCATAAAGCAGCAGAATTTCAGTGTTTGGAATTAAGCTTGCTAGACAATGTTCATACAAGAAATCTAGGACAGTCCGAAAGATCATCCAATGAAACAAATTACCTCAGCACGAGCACAAACATAGAATCTGCGACCAAAATTAGGACCTTGTTTCTTCACCACTCGAGCAATACAAGGTTCCTTATGACCCTTGCAAAGCGGTATGCTATTTTGCATCAACTGTTGTATTCTCTGCCACTCCAATAAAGCCACATTACTAGTTTCTTTCCTCGCAGAATCATCAGTAAATTTAGATACATCTTCACAGACGTCCGTACACAACTCATGTTGCTTGGAACCGCCACTCTGATCAACCACTGCAGACGCTTCATTTGGGTGATGGTCAAGTTGTGAGGATTCTGCACTGTCAACGTTTGCACTTTTTTTGAAAAAGGACATCAATGAAAGTTGGGACCCTACACTACTTCTCGCTTTTTTCTTAGGTTGAGTACCTTTTCCAGGCATTGCTTTATCATATTCAATGCCCAATGAAACTAAATTGTTACAAACAGCCTCCTGAGAAGAACCACCAGACTGCTTGTTTGATTCAAGACTAGTTTCTGAATCTTGGCTTGAAGGCACATCACATTCACTGGTGGTCATGACAGACAAACCCCTGCTGTCGAATGATTCTTTTACTCTTTCACAACTTCTCCAACTGACAATGTCTTCACCTGAAATCAAGCCTGACGTCTTGCAAGATTTCATTTGTTCAGAAACTTGTCTTCTTGTCAACACAGACACTGCAACACAAAAGCTCTGAGGCAATTTAATCATAGAAGGTGCAGAAATTATAATTAAAAAAAAAAAAAACCAACATTTAGTACCTAGTGTTTGCTGCAAACCACGAACCATGGGATCATATCTGGCAGATAAGGAGGGAGTACTATGCAGAGAGAGATTAGGTATTTCATGTAAAGTAACATAAACTGGAGCATGATCAGATCCTTCAAGTTTAATGCTTCGACCTTTCCACCTCTGGGCACTGAACATATAAGAGGACCAAAGTTAAATCCTTGATTCCAAGGAGAGACATGCAGCAGAGACGGATGCAATTGCAAATCTTAAACCATGGAATGCAGTATGCCACTGCTCCATTAAAGAACCTCAAAAAGAATTAGAGAGAGAGAGAGAGAGAGAGAATACAAATATGAATCTGATAAGCAACATTAATGAGGAATGGTAAACAATCAGATGAGTTCTTTTTGTATGTATGGAGGTTATGTCATGATACTTAACTGGTCTCTCTTGCTTCAAAGAACATGAGAATTTGCATGATAAATATGATATACACAATACAAAAAGGGCAAAACAGAAAACCTGAAAGCATAAAACATCTTATAATACAATCAATAATCTAGTCTAGCAAAAGGGCGAAAACAATAATCTAGCATCATAAAATATTTCTGATGTGAGTCACTTGTCCAGGATAGAGAAAATAGCTTAAAGACATACACATGATACGTCTATTTGATAGCGTTGTTAGGTTCTTTACCTCAGGCTGCTTCCAGGTTTGCATCGTTTATACTGTGACAAAATGTCACACTCCTTAACATGGCATCTTATAAAATTATGGCCTCCCAGGTCATCTGCTTCATGCAAGCATGATCCCGCACACAGAATATGGTCAATTCTTGTCCCAAAGTTAAATACTTCAGCCCCTGTATTTTGGGGCCAACAAGTATATGCTTCCTTTCTGCATTAAATCTCAACATGCACCAATGTTTAATCACATAGTGAAAATCACTGCTTAAATTTGAAAAGGAAACAATTATGGAGGATAATGCATATACTACCAGCAATAATGTGCCAAATTGAAGGTTAAAAATAAAATATTTAAACAAATAATCAATGAATCACTTATTTAAAAAATCTTTTTTTCTGAAATAAACCAATAACGGGAGTGAATTTAGCAAATTGAAAAGGCCCTTCTATTTGAAAGCAATAAAAATCCAATATGGGAATAATGAAAATATATTCAAAGAGACAGAGTGAAACATTCTCTACTTTGCAAGAAGGCAATGTTTATCATGTATCAGGGATTAGACTTCTAGGTATACAAACACATCAGGCATTCAACACTCAACATTTCAGGCGGCTATAAGTCCAAACCTATCAGGATGCTTTGCTCTGAAAACATCAAAAAATTGGCCACCATTTTCAAGTAGCATAGACCTGAACCATCTTCTAAATCTACACAAGAAAAGATCGGTAAGGTGGTAAGCATTTGAGAAATTGACAATCATATTAGACACCAACAAATAATACTTCACAGAAATTCAGTAAGCAATTTACTCATTATCCTCAAAATCAGGTCCTGCTTCACAGCGATCTATTGCTTGTGGTGCAATGTTGAGATCACCAACAACAAATATTCTCCTTCCTTGAAGCAGGAGAGACTCCCATCTTTTCTACTAAAGAAAATTATCAGAATCAATCCAACAATACCAGGTAAATAAATGAAAACTGAAAGGTGGAAGAACATCTGTAAAGAGGTAAGGTAGGCAACTAAAGCACACATAAAACTACATTTCAACACGCCAAATGTTTCAGCACATATAACAAAATGCCCCATTCAAGGCAACTACAAAATTCAGCACTGCAAAAACTTAGTTACAATTCTATTGGTTTAAGACCATATATACATTAAAAAAAAATACCTGCAATATTTTGAAAAAGTTATGCTTAAACTGAATCCTCTCTGAGTCATCACTTTCAGCTCGAGGCCCATACAAATTGAAAAGAACTGGCCAGATGGAAGCGAAATTTTATCAAAACTACTACATTTGTTATGAAAATAGAAAACAGATAGTGCACAAGACTTAGCATGAACAATAAATCCATCCTTACAGTCAAACTTATAGAAGCTTTAATGTCATATAACTTGGCCACGCACAAAAAGGAAATTCAATAAATAAAGAACCAGGCTTTATAATTGATTGATTCCAGTTGAAATTTATCAGTAATGGGCAAAAAACTCACCAAAGTGACCATGATCGGTGATGATGCAACGTCCCTCACTATCAACACTAAGAAGCTCCTCATTGGAAAACCCTAGTAGGCCTTCCATGAAGAAAGGCAATTCATTTTTCCCAGGGAGAGAGTTTCCATTAAGACCTGTGAATCCTTCCTCAGCCGCTAAGGGCAACGCTACTTCGTCACTTGAAAACGCCGATTTTACGCGACAAAACGTGGCAACGCCTGTATACCCAGAGGAAGTTCGTGCTTAAATTAATGATTTTCAAATGCACTCGAGATTAGAGACAAGCAGTGGGATCAAGGGTAATTAGTTCTTTTCATTATAGGTAACCATAATAGGAGCTCTAAAATGCCACCACATGGGTGCTACTTGACCTTAACCTCTGTAAAATTGATAGGCAAAAGCAAAAGAACCCCAGAAAACTATATCAACCATGGTAAAGTAACAAGCTGTAGAAACTACGGGGGACAAAGTTTCCTGAACATATAATATGGCTGTGGTTGAGGCAGGGAACAAATTCAACTCACCGGAATATCCAGTTCGACCTCTATCAGAGGTACGGGTGCACGAAAAGAATGATTCGTATCCGTCAGCCATGACCAAATCCGCTGTCACTTCCTGCCTCCTCAGCTTTGTTTCCTGCGATGGCTCGAAAATGTATTAAGGATGCGAAGAATATCAGAGACAGCGGGGGCTACAACAGAGTAGATACTAGATAAAGCACCTGAAGGCAGATAATATCAGCGTCGAACGAATTCAGCAGATTCCGAAGAGAGCCGAACTGCGCTATGCGCTGTCTTAAGCCATTCACGTTGTAAGTTACTATCTTCATTGTCCCTCTTTCTGAGCTTGTTTCGGTTCCAGAGTCCGGAAATTGGAATCCAAACTCACCCAGCATCGGCCAAAACTTACTTGACCATTATACTCCCTCCTCCCCAATTTTATTTTTATTTAATATGTTTTTGAGTGATTTGATATTTCATGATATGTTTTTTATTTATATAAAATCTTAATAGTGTTTCTGGTTAAAGTTAAAATCTTAATATTAATCTCAAATACTTTGCCCCCAAAAAAAAAATAATAAGAATAAACAAAACAAACATCTCGGAGTCAGGGTACAATTTACTGTTCTTGGCTTTTCGACCTTGCTTACTGTTGTGGTCCTTAAGTGTCATTCCAATTTTCATTTTCCTCCCAAAATTGTTTCTTGAACAAGCAAAAAATGAAAATTCCAGATGTCTTCGTCGTTATCCCCGAGTGGCTCGTGGAGAGCACAAGTTTGAAGGGTTGGAGTGTCCTTGTCTGGGCCACTTTCTCGCAGTTTTGCCGAAAATTTTTGGATGAGATTATCATGAAGGGCTCGCCGTAGAGAGCTGAATGTATCTTATGTCAAAGAGAAACTTTAGAAAAATAAGAAAAGGTTGAATTTTTTTTTGAAATGGATCGGTGGAAACCTGAAGATTTGTCTAAATTCGCATCTGTTGCAGCAGATTTAGCGCCTTCTTCGCTTCAGCCTCAGTCTCAACTTGTTACTGTCACCTCTAACCGCTTGCAGAATTCGCATACCGAATCCAGGTTCTTTTTTTTGTTTTTCCTCCTCTTTTGCTATAATTTTTTATCACCGTCGACTGCTTTTAAGGTTTACGACAGACTAACCATCGAACAAATTATTAAGATAATAATAATTGTTAATTGAAAGTTGTGTGATGTTAAAGTGCCCTCTTATGGAATACGTTTTAGAAATTTGAGAATATCGGATTGAGAGTGAATCAAGATTTTTGTGTTGGTGCTTCAGATTGTTATAGTCGCATTTGCAGCCTTCCCAAAAATGTGAGTGTCTGATGATTTATATCCACTGTGGGGTTACTTCTCTGTAGGCACAGGCCTGAAGCTGAAGCACAGGATCCAGTTGCTGCAAGAAAACTTCAAAAGGCGGACCGCGAGAAACTGAGGAGGGATCGACTAAATGAGCATTTCCTAGAGCTGGGAAACACATTAGGTTAACTGCAGCACTCTTTTGGTGATGAACAATCAATTCCTGCTTCATGAATCATAGGCCCATCATACATCCATTTCTCAGATTAGCTGATTTCAAGCGCCTTGAAATATGAAACCTATTGTTGATACTTGTACATGCATGAATAACTTTGGGAGAATGTCAAGTAAGGACCTTGTGAGAATATTAATGCCAAATTGAGAACTTTAGTACTGAAACATGGTGAAAGGAGTATTGAAATTTAGAAACGTCAATGTTAAAAAATTCTAATCTGACATTAATGTTCTTACAAGGTCCTTATTTATCGTTAACCCAATAATTTTGTAATAGGGTGGCAAATACTGTTGATTAGAACTTAGAACTCTTTCTGAAACTTTATTTTTACTGAGATTGCTTTTTTGCTTAGAGTAACCTCACTCGTAATGTCATGTGATTTGTTTGTCGTTCTGCTGTATGTTCTGGGTAAATAAATATGAAGTGGGATTAGCAATTTTTTGGCTTAAGAAAAGAGCATTTTCAAAGATGATAATACTTTTAGTTTCTGGGAAAAAAAAAACACTTAAAATACTACTTTTATCTTTTTCTAAATAGTTGAAATAATTAATTTTTAGGAAAGCATTCTTTAGTCAAAATAACTTTTGAGCCCGCCCACACAGGTGCAGGGCTGCAGGCTGCTTTTTAACCACAATTTCTCTCGTGTGGAAAACAGGAAAAGGAAGGGAGAAAATAGGAGAAGTGATTAAAAAAATATATTTACTTATTAGATGGGTCATATGTAATTGATAGTGATATTACTAATTGATTTCACAAGATGGGAATCTTGTCTGCTTATATCTGTCATGCGACGTTGCGCACTTCATTCATTGACTATGTCGTTGACCTTTGCTTACAAATGCATTCTTCCTATTGAGTAAATTTTATGTCTTTGGTCTTCGTTACTTAACAATTGATGTTAAGAAACTCGTTTTGGTGCAGTTTCTTCCTGTGCCTAGAATTCCAAGGTTAAGGCAATCTCTTCTTGGTAGCCTGAAAACACACTTGATTGCACCTTGATGGTCAAAACTGTTTATGTAAAGCCTTCCCTTCATCAAAAATATGCTCTCCGTTTTCAAACTTCCTTTCCAGCCACTTACCCAAGCAGCTTTCACAATAGTGAACATGCTATCTTCACGTGATGATTCTAAGAATTGATTCTTACTTTTTTACCTGAGCCTACTTTCTCTTGATTATAAGGGAGGTCAGTCTGGCCAAATATATATATATATATTTATATGAGAGGGGTCAGAGGACTTAGCAGGGGTTAGGTCGAGGGGAACAGAACAGAAGTAAGCAAAGAAAATCCACTAAGCATCACACTGGGAGACTTTTCATCTCTGCCTAACGACAGGAAACTGTTACTGTGCATGCACCAAAAAACTATTATTACAAAAAAGTGATGTCTAAAGAGGCCTGTTCTAGATTTCGTTACTTTTTATCATTTTCAGAGCAATGACCATGTTATAGAGATTATAATTTGAAAGATAAATCGATATTGATTAGATGAAGCATTGCTAGTAGTCATCTCATATGAAGAAAATCATTGTTATTTAAGTAAACAATAGTGTCTTAAATGATGGGTAGTATTGTCAGCACAGGGAACTGAAATGATGCGCCCTCTATGTTTAGCTTGTTTACTTTTTCATTGATGACGGATTGTTTTCCTTTTGAGAAAGATGTATATTTCTGATGTGAGTGATGATGGGATGAAACACCAACCTTTTGCGATTTTCTGTGTACCGGATGAACACATCTGCTGCTTCTTTTTCCATCTTTAGATGCATTATCAGTTTGTTAAAAAAGCGATTGAGATATTCTTGTGGAACTAAACATCGCAGATCCAGATAGGCCAAAGAATGACAAGGCCACTATCCTTACAGACACAATTCAGGTGCTAAAAGATTTATCTGCTGAAGTCGATAGACTAAAAGCTGAGCATGCAGCACTTTCTGAAGAATCACATGAAGTAAGGTTGTTTTTATTTAAATTTTACCTTCGAGATTACAAAGCTTGTCAGCTGCTTACTGCGTCTGTTTATTTTGTGTTTGCAGCTAATGCAGGAGAAAAATGAACTCAGAGAAGAGAAGATATCTCTAAAATCTGACATTGAAAATCTTAATTCACAGTATCAGCAGAGAGTCAGAGTCACGTTCCCGTGGACTGCAATTGATCATTCAGTTGTCATGGCTCCACCGTATTCATATCCAGTTCCTATACCCATTTCTTCCGGTCCAATTTCCCTCCATCCATCACTTCAACCTTTTCCTTTCTTTGGAAACCAAAGTCCAGGTCCGATTCCCAATCCTTGTTCCACATATGTCCCCTTTTCTGCTCCAGTTAATCCCCCAGTCGAGCAGCCAACTGGCCAGTATGCTTCGACGTCCAACACTTCAAGCAAACAAGATTCCAGAAGTAAGTCGCCAGATCATGAAAGGACTGGCAATGCTGAAAGATGTCGTGAGTCTAACGATGTTGCTACCAAGCTTGAACTTAAGATTCCTGGATCATCATCGCAACAGGTGAGTTAATCGTAGTTTAAAAGCAAACTCGTAGCAGCACTCAAATAATCGAATCTCTAATTGAGTTTCTGCAGGAATCATCTTGTGGAGCGAGGAAGGGCAAGCATTCATTAAGGAGGGCGAGAAACATCACCGATGGGAGTACTTCAAGCAGGCATTCTTCGTCTCAAGGACCTCAAGATAGCTCTAACAGCGTGGGTGACAACCCGAAGTCTGATAAATGAAAATGTACATGGTTCTCCCCACCAAAAATAAGCAAAATGATTCATGGAAGAGTTCTTTTCCTGGAATAGATTACAGATGCGTTACAGCCTTCTTTGTGTACTAGATCATTATTAACTATCCTGGCCTTATGTGTAAATAGATAAGCAAGCGGTTATCGTAAATTACCAAGATGATTTGCCTTTAGCCATGCGCATCACAATTAATTTATGTCATTTTCTGGGACTGACTTTTCTTCTTGGCACCTTGATGACTCATTTTAAAGACCCCCGGAACTTGGAATTGAGAACGCTGGTTGTTTTCTTGCCTGTTTTTCTTCGACATAGAGACTGCGGAGTAAGAAGTGTGCAGATTTTGTCTTGTCCTTTTGTTCGAAGATAATCTGCACTTGTGCTGCTATGATCAAGGACTTAAAGTAGTGCTCATTTGTAAACAGTGCCAGGTCAAGTAAATCAATCACACCAACTTTGGGCCTTAGATCCCCTTGAATTTTCAAACCGCATTAGATTCCTCATTATCCAGTGTCTTTTAACCAATGTACTTATTTTTATCTTTTCAATCTAAACATCTGTCATAAATTAACAAATTCGAATTGTTGGGGGGAAAAACTGATTCAATTGATTAATGCTCGGGATCATGGTGACGAAATTAATAAAAATCTCCCATTTATTTATTTTAGATTAATTTAATATTTTGTAGTATAAGATGTTATAAGAAAAAAAAAATTCATTAATTAAGCTTGTTCTAAAAATACTTGTCGTTTTTACACTCCTTAAATATCTCTTTTCCCCTTACTAAATGGAAAATATTTTTGAAAATTATATTTCTTTTGGAAGAAATTAAGGTTCCAAAAATCAAAAATGCATACAACTAATTTCATAGTATTTACAATTTTTTTAAGGGGGAAAGAAGTCTCAGGAAGGGATTGAGGAATATCATAAAATTAAGAGATAATTAAATCCAAATCCCACACACAAAAAATTAATTACTGCAAAGTTCATTAACAATTGAAATAAAAATAAATCTTACAGTAATTAATTTTATTGTGTAAGAATTCAACATAATTCTCAATTCTCCCTAAAATTAAGGGCTGGACAATAGGAAGACAACTGAGCTCTCAACTAAAACTTTCGTTTGTTCATTTATAGTT